CCCCTGCAGTTCTGGCTTGTACCCCAGTTCTGTATGCATAAATTTTAAAAAAAGAGAGTCAAGGACCTCCCTAAAGTCACAGAGCAGTTGCTAGGCAGAGCTAGGATTTGACCCCTGGCTCTAGGTGATATGGGTTAAGAGTAGAAAAGTTGGAAAGGAGGCACCACATGACCAGAAACCTGGCTCACATGTTGCTCAGCTGGAGGTGGTGGGTAGAAGTGATTAAGTCATTAAACCAGCTCTAGAAATGAGAAATCCTTAGGTACCAACTGCTATACCAAGTATCAGAGGCTACAGAAAGCATCATGAGGTGCAGAGCAGAGGGGAACGGTGGCCTACCTCATTGTAGAGAATCACTGGTTTGGACAAATCAACCTAATCATACCCTAGAAATAATTAGGAGTTAACAAAAGTTAACTCCACAAGGGAATGAGGCCCTTCTCCCAAGGAGAAGGGAAGACGGGTGCAATTCCTTTTTTGTTTTAATTAAAAAATGTACTTTTTAAATTTTTTTACATCACTCTTCATTTTGTGCATTTTTCCATCTCAGTTGTAACCCCCATGGGCTCTCCACCACCAATTCAAGATGGGTGCCATTTCTGCATTGGCAGGGGTTGCCAATGCACCTGTGACTGCAGGCATCTCTTGAGCAAACCTGACCTTTTCAGGGGCAGCTCTTTCTACCCACTTGAGTCTATGAAAGTGTCCTTCTCTCTTTTGTCCCTCTTCTTAATAAACCTGCTCTTTAACTATAATTAATATCTCTCGTGGAGAAACTCACCTGGGAAACACCATGTGGCCCTGAAAGGGGAGCTCTGGTGAAACCTTTTCCAGAGTGAACCCAAAGACCCTGCACAACAAACTCATCTCCAAAAGCTACATCATAAACACCAGACACAAGACTCACTCTCCCAGTTGATTATTCACTTCCTTCATATTGTTGCCGGGTGGGTACGCAGTTCAGTGATATGATCTTCACTGCTGGTGCAGCGGATTTTCATCCCGGGTAATCACTACGAGTTCTTGGCTCTGAAGCCATAAAAGGAATTCACACACTTCAGCTAAGCAAGCAGAGAGAAGCAAACTTTGAGAAAGTAAAGAAAAGTTTACTTAGGAAAAAGGGAGGGACAAAGAGCAAAGACTCCCAGGCAGTACCTGGGAGGGGCAGAGAAAGCCCTCATGGAATCTTGCTTTGGGAATATATACTTCTTTCCCTGGTTCTAAATTTTCATCAGGCTCCCTTTCACCGGTAAGTTCCCAGGGCTCTCACTTCATCTACTGTACTTGGCATCTTCCTGTGTCACATCCCTTATTTTTGAGCATATGTCTTATCTTTTATCATCCTTGACCCAGAGTGACCTCCTGTTACCCCTAGTCTAGGGCTTTTTTTTTTTTTTTACATTTTGTGTGTTTGTGTGGTTTTTTTTTTAAAGATTTATTTATGATACAGAGCTGGGGCACAGGCCAGAGGCTCAGGGTAATGAGAGGATTCAAGAACAGGCCGACTGAGAAAGTACACTGTTGAGGAGGTTGGGGGGGTAAGCAGGGGGACAGTAGAGGTCTGCAGCACCCTGTGGGGTGGGGAAGGAACTCTTGCTGAAGCGGTTTTAGCTTCTCAGTGATGTGCTTTAACCTGCTGTGCCACCAGGGAGGGCCCTGTTTTTTAAGATTCATTTATACATACAAGAACTGGGTTACAGTCCAGAGGTGCAGGGGGTGAGAGGACTCACCAGAGACAGAGTGGGGAGCAGAACAAGTAGGTGTTCTGAAACACTGCAGGGAAGCAGCAGGGAGACCAGAGAAATCTGCGCCATGTGGGTCAACTCCCTGGCCAGGAATCAAACTCGTGCTGCAGTGTCTGTGGCCAGCTTCATAGTGCTGCGCTTCAAACCCTCGTGCCACCAGGGAGGACCCCTGGTCTTGGGGTACTTGACTAGCTCCCTTCAGAATCGTAGCCCTTATCTCTAGATCCTTTTCCTCTTGTTGCCCTCATCTCTGACTTTCATTAACTCTACCGAAGTTCCCACTTGCACTGTCCCTGAAGCTACTGATTACCCTAACTTGCCCTAGGACTCAATATTTCTGTCCGTGAAAAAATAGTGCAAACCAAAACACAGTGAAGGACATTTCAAGCAGACGGAAGGAACCTGCTAATGTGGTGAGCAGCCAACATGGCTTCCGGTTCTTGCCGCCACACACAATATGGCCGCCAGGGAGCGTTTCCATGAAATCACGCGAGAGTTGCATCAAGGCTACTATCCGAGAATTGAAACGGGGGTGTGGAGCAGCCAAGATGGAGCCGGCAGCCGGCGGCCCCGGCCCGCTGATCATGAACAACAAGCAGCCCCAGCCGCCGCCGCCTCCGCCGCCAGCAACCGGCCAGCCTCCTCCCGGGGCCCCGCGGGCCGGCGGGGGCCTGCTGCCCGGGGGCAAAGCTCGAGAGTTCAACCGCAACCAGCGCAAAGACTCGGAGGTTCGCAGCTCTGGGGGGCGAGGCTGGCGGGCGGCGGGCGGCGGCGGGGTCGAGGCTGACCGCTGGCGGGCGGCGGGCGGCCTCTAGCTCCCCCGGTAGGTGGTGTAGGACCAGGGGCTCAGCAGCAGGGGCACGTGGAACTTGTGGGTCTCGTCTGTGATGGTGAAAACCACCTGCGAGCAGGGAGGCGCCGTGAGGCGCTGGGCCCCCGACGCCCGGCCCAGGCGGCTGCCCCCCCCGC